AAAAGCTAGACATTGTAGGATGAAAACTGTTAATTCATGATAGCAAAAATCAGGAATTTAAAATGTTAATCTTAGTAAAACTACTTTTGTCAAACAAGGTTCTGCCAGATCCTTTCTGATTTACAAAAAAGCTATTTTTTTCCTTTGGATTATGACAAAAAGTGAATCTTCTTAAAATTGTATACACTTGGATATGCATAATGATTTTTTACTTCAAAAATAAACAGAACACATTCTCCCTGTTGAAGAAAATGTAGGTTTTTTTTAAAGAAAGTAGAGGAGGAAATTATTTCAAGGAAAGCTCAAAGACTGGGCATAGATGACTGAGGATAATTAGAGTCTCAAAGCCTGCCTTCTGATTGCTCAATTCATTGTTAGATGTTGAAGCAAGTCTTCTCTTTCTCCCAGTTTTTATTCTGGGAAGCTTCCTGCAGGAACGTCCTTCAGAATACACATCTTTTAGTCCAGCATTTATTTATTTTTTATTTTTATTTATTTGATTTGCCAATTGTTTACAAGATAATAAGTATAAGTGTATACATAGTTGTGAATACATGAAATGGGTACATATAAGAAAAATAAAAGAATAAGAGAAACAATAGGACAGGGACGGTAGGCACGATGGTGCGCTTATGCACGCTCCCTACAGACCTCTTAGGAAAGGGGTGAGGTCAATAGTAGACAGTCTAAGGTTAAAGTTTTTGGGGTTTGGGGAAGAGACTATAGAGTCGGGTAGAGTATTCCAGACATTGACCACTCTATTGCTGAAGTCGTATTTCCTGCAATCAAGTTTGGTGCGGTTTACTTTGAGTTTGTATCTATTGTGTGCTCTTGTGTTGTTATGGTTGAAGCTGAAGTATTCATTGACAGGTAGGACATTGCAATGTATGATTTTATATACCATGCTTAAGTCAGACCGAAGACGGCGTAATTCAAGGTTTTCTAGTTCTAGAATTTCAAGTCTGGTGGCATAAGGTATTCTACAACGAGTAGAAGAGTGGAGAACTCTTCTTGTGAAATATTTCTGGACTTTCTCAATTGTGCTAATATCAGATACGTAATGAGGGTTCTAGACTGATGAACTGTATTCGAGTATTGGTCTAGCAAATGTTTTGTATGCTCTGGTTAGTAGTGTGATAATGTCCTTGCAAAGAGAATGGGATAGGGATACAGTTCTCAAAATTCCCTTCTAAACATTGGCGATACTGACTGAAAATTCTAGGGATGTAGGCCCAACTCATCCAGTGGCATCCAGGTTACAGAAGCTATTCCAGTCTTTCTGCCTAAATGCTTCTTTTAGAACATCATTAAATCCTCTTTCCTTCCTTCCTTTTCATCTTACTTTTCCCTACTTAAGGGAAATGGTTCCCTAACCATTTAAATTAAAATCACAATTACTCATTTATTTAAAACCATAAAAAACCCACAACAATATAGGTAGTCCTCAACTTTTAACGGTTTGTTTAGTGACCATTCAAAATTGCAATGGCACTGAAAAAAGTGATTTAGGACCATTTTTTTCACACAACCATTGTATCAACCCCATGGTCACATGATCAAAATTCAGATGCTTGGCAACTGACTCATATTTATGATAGGTGAAATGTCCCGGGCTCATGTGATCACCTTTTGCAACCTTCTGACAAAGTCAATGGGAAATCCAGATTCACTTAACAACTGTGTTACTAACAACAACTGAAGCAATTCATGTAACAACTGTGGCAATAAAGGTTGTAAAATGGGGCAAAATTCACTTAAGGACTGTTTAATTTAGCAACAGAAATTTTGGGCTCAATTGTCAAGGACTACCTATATTGGCAACGAGGAGTATTAACAAAATCAAAACAGAAGAATTTCATTAAAAGTCTGCTTTTAGTGCAAGTGCCTATAAATGTAATTGAGCAGTAATATTAGTTACACTACTAATTAGTTACTATTACTACTACTAAATTATAAAATGATATAATTTATTCTGAAGGCACCAAGAACAGAAGGACTAAAAGAAGAAAAACTCTTGCAGAGTCAATTCAAAATTATTAGTGTCTAGACTCCAGATATAAAATTGCCTACTGTGAGCAAAAGGAATAAAATAAAATCCCTCACATATATTTTTCAAAAACAAAAAATAGAATAAATTAATCCTGCTGAATCAAGAAAATCTTGATTTAGCAGGGACATATTATTCAATCAACTATAGAGAGTAAGCTTTTTTCTTTCCTTTTTTTTTTTACATTCCATGTTCCCACAAGAACGATAAGTTTATTAAGGTACTTTTCTACCTTAATAAACTTCATATAGAGCAGAGGAATTCTTTATGAGATGAGTAAAACTGGAGGTTTATCCCCAACAGTGCAGTGGTAGTATTTTTAAAAATTATGGCAGAAATCCCACTGTAGAGTGAAGAGAAGATCTTATTTTAAAGGCTACTTTTTCATTTTCCCAGTATTAAATGGTTACATGCTTTGCTCTTGTCATGCATCTCAGGATAACGTCCATGAATGGTCCAACTAACGTGTCAAAACTTTGGGAGACTAATTAACAATATATGCTATTCAACATCTCATGAGCCACTGCATTGGGTAATATCCTGGAAGGGGATTGAATTGAACAAGAAATTATTATCTTCTGTTATCTTCTAAGGGTAATATTGTGATGACTAATATGGGGGGAAGATATGCAAATTTGTCATTCATATTTTGCAATCCACTTTGCCATCCCAATTTATTTTTGTATTTTTACCTGAAGCTAAAGAGGGACTAATTTTTTCCTTATTAGAATCATGAGTCTTTGGGATATTGGAGTGATCAGTCTTAACAAATACAGAATTAGATGAATTAGCAAACATTTTTTTTTTTTCAAATGACACTTTGAAACCTTCCAAATTTTAAATGCTGTGTTGTATCCTAATTCTGAACCTACAGTGTTTAAGCCTTAATCCAGGCAACAGCTAAACTCTAACAAAGAAATACAGGTTAACTCATTGCTGCCAATTAGTAATGATCTGGAGGTTTGTGGCCCAGTGTTTTGGTCTGTGTGATTCACCACTATATCAAAAGCTTTTTAACATTTTTATCTTTCTCATGTGCACTAACAGTACAAAAATAATGATTATATGGATTATATGGATGTGGCTTGTTCAAACAGAGACAACACAGTACTAAGACATAGTGAGAAGCCTTTTCTATTACCTTATCAGGGATAGATGAACACCAAAAAGGAGTCAGCATTGGCAGTAAAGTTTCGCTTTTCAGTCCAGCTTGGATAACACAGATGTCAGTGGAATGTCAGCACCTGTGAGCATACTCTTTTTCCCCTGGATGTCACTGTTGCTCCACAAAAAAGAAGGAAAATTGCATTCACCTAACTGGATCATTAATTCTGCATATGAACTTTTTCCCTTTCTTTCCCAGGTGTTTGTCTCAGGCGTGCTTAACATTTAAAATTCCTCACACTCATTCCTTAAGAGGTTTAAGATTGCAAGATTGCCTTTGAGCACCCGCAAGTGATATAAGAGGCCTTGGGAAGAATAGGTGTTGTATTGCAATTGGAAAGAAGAGTCCTACTTTATAGAGGATGCATTTTTATTTAACATTCAATTCAACAGTCTTCCTAGATTCTATGTGTTGTCATTGGAAGAAAAATAACATAGATATACTTTGAGCTTTTAGATTATATTAGGTTGAGTTGCAAAATTCCAGATAATTTCTAGACAGCAGCAGAAACCTGGAACTTTCTGTGTCTCTTCACTCCACTGTAGTTGTCATCCATACTCGTGATATGGTATGCCTGGAGTATTAATTTTTAACTTTTAAATGTATTGTTTAAATCTCACGTTACCTTCAAGAGTCAAAGTGGCATACAGAGCCCAACATCCTCCCATTTTTCTGTCTAAAACAACTATGTGAGGATGGTTGAGCTGGGAAAGAATGATTGATCCAAAGTCATCTAGAAAGCTCAGGGTGACCTCTTTATTCCCAGTCAAACCAACTGTACCTGCCAAGACAATACTGTGTAACCCAAATCAAAAGTGAACTTTCAGCAGAGTGAGAGTGCTAAACAACTGTATTGTTTTAATTCTTAACTATTGGAAGCATAGTGCAATATCTGATATTGTAGTTGAGGGATGTACCTGTAATTCAAGAAGCTACACCGGGGTGTCAAACTCGCATTGTCATAGTATTGTCATGTGATGTATCGTGTCTTTTCCCCTTTCCCTAAACTAAGCATGGGCATGTCAGAGCATGACACATCCAGTCCATGGGCTGCAAGTTTGACAGCCCTAATCTGCACCATTTGATGATCTTCAGAAAATAACAATTGGTTGTCATTTGTGTTGTTCTGGTATTGTGCTGATGTGTACTAGATTAGTAGGATCATACAGAAGTTGAGTTACAGTTTAAAGCATGATACCAGCCAATTGGCATATTGTGGTACCAAGAGCCTACTGATATAATTAAATAATGACAAAAAGTAAAGCTCTTATTCAATTACTTTGACATTTAGCCGTTCTTTGCAACTAATGGGATTAAATTCATTATAAAGAGATTAAGTGTAGAATAAGAGCTGGGCACATTAGGGGAAGATTTTACCTTGCAATCTTTTAAAGCTTTCAGATTTTTTACCATTGTGTGTGTGTGTCACTCTGGAAGTAAGGCAGACAAGTTGCATTTAGTTCTTGAAATCACAATGATTTTTCTTTGTTTCTTTGAGTATACGAGGTCATTCTTTTGTTATTGTGTTAGTGCTGTAGTAAAAGATTCTGATTGCTCAATAGTTGGAATTTCATTGACGGAAAAAAGCCTCAATGTGTTTATACCTCTGATCATATATAGAGTTTTGCCAAAAGGACAATTGCAATCCTATGAGTGATTCATTTGCTCAATTAATGAAATCTGTTGGTTATACTTATGCAGTGAGAGTTTTTTTTTTCTTAACTGTCATATATTTTTATTATAGATATTCATTTTGAAGTATGGGATGTTTCATATTTTGTTCATCAGTTTGGAAGCTTGAGGCTGTGTTTGAACAACTGCTCATCAAAGCTCTGCCGTGCAAGATGTAAAGCAATTATATAAAGAGCATTTATGGAGAGCCTTTTCCTGATCCTTGAGTAACCACAATTAGCCCTCATCAGACTTTGAATTGAGGGTAAAAATTCAAGTCAGAGTGCATGACTTGTCAAAGACTTAGATACTGGCACTAGTATTTTACAAATGAATCATTTGAAACAGAGCATCAGCTCAGAAGCTATTTATACTCTGAATGAGATGATAGGACTTGTTTCTACCACCAACACTCTCATCTAGCAAAATGGATTGTTTCCATTTTATAACTGATCTACTAATATGTTGTGGACAGAAAAAAATGTGAGGAGGTAGTTCAAATTGTTGGCTTATTGGTATGAATTTTAGATGGCTATGGTCAGTAAAATCACTGTCAGCGTAGCAAAATGTATGTTTAAAAAATACCATTGTATAACACCGTGATGGTAAACCTATGGCACACAGGCCAGAGGTGGCATGCAGAGCCTTCTCTCTGGCACATGAGTCGTCGCCCCAGCTCAGCTCTGCCACGCATGTGCGCATGCACCACCTGCCAGTTAGCTCGTCTTTGAGTCTCTGCCCACATGCTGGGTGGCACATGTCACTCATGCATTTGTGGGGGTGGGGCACAAACCCAGGGGGCGCAGGGGGTCGCACGTGCATATGCAGGGACATGCATGTGCATTGCATTTTGGGGAAGCATGTGCGTGCTTTGAGCACTTGGTGCCAAAAAGGTTAGCCTTCACTGGTATAGCATATGGAATTTCAATTCAGGTGAAGATTATCCTGTAATGGGGAACCATGAGTTGCCACTACAATTTTAAAAAGTTCATCATTTTATTAATATGGGTAAAAACTTTTGTAAATTACAGATAAAGACACAGGTGTTTCTCTTCCATTCCCATAAACTTGCACTCTATAAATTATATATTTTTCTTTTTAATCATATCAGTACAAAAATATGTAAATCCATGCATTAGCTGTTTTCTCACAATTTTAAAATGCTGAATTTTTTTTTTTTTTTTAGGTAAAAATGCCTTGTGTAGTAGATATGTTTAAGTTTTTGTCTTATTGTCCCAAAGGTGCTTTTTCAAAAGCAACTGGAGTTTGTTTTTTCTTGAAGATGTTTTGTTTCTCATCCAAATAGTGGAGGATGGAAGGATTTATATTCCTTGCAGTCATCTGGTCATTAGCACTCATTCTGAGATTTGTTGAGGCCACTTCCCCTCAGGGTCACCTGAATAGTGCAAATGGGTATGATGTCTTCTTGGAATTGTTGAAAGGACTGTGTTGTAAATGACATATAGGTATCATATCCCTCCCCATCTGTTGCTCTGTTGTCGAAAGAAGATGTTCAGGACGAGATCCTTCCATCCTTCACCATTCAGTCAGAACTGAAGAAGCCTCTTGGATGAGAAGTGAAATGTCTTCAAGGAAAAACGAAGTCCAGTTGCCTTTTGAAAAAAGCACCTTTGAGACAACCATGACCTGGTGACTGAGAATATCCATAAACATATGTCTTGTTGATGTCTCCGTTAGTTTTAAAATCTTGTTGATTCTTTCTAACACAATGGAATATTAAAAAGATATTTAAAAGGACTTTGAATCAATCTCCCTACCCATCATCTAATTAATTCTTCACTTTAGTGGGGTTGTGTAGCTTAAAATTTTCCTGACGAGCTCTTTCTCTCTCCCTGGCCTGCCTTAAGTGGCTGTCATGTGTACTATTTTTCCATGTTCATTCACACAAATATATGTCATAAATAACTCACAATCCCCAATTGAATTAATGAAAATTAGAGGGTGCTGTGCTTTAACCAAAATGGTGCTTTGTGGAATGTAGAAGTCCAGATGCACATAGACATAGTCTTTAAAAATTTCTATTTTCCTTCTGGGTTAATGCAATAGCCACTCAGTCCTAGAAAAGTGTGGGTTTGAGTTAAGGAATCATCAACAATGGTTCCATAGCATGTCATATTCTCCTTCATTCAACTAAACATTTTATTGAATTGCATGGCTACTATAAGAGCATAACAAAAGACAAAACTTCTCTAAGATGGTGAGACAAATGTGGTGTGCACACTCATATGCATTACAAAGTGATATTTCAGTCATAGATACATACTGATAAATTCCTAATTATAATATAGGGGCATGAACATATTGATGTTTACAATAACATATTCATTTTTGCAGTGGTGATGCATAATTAACATACTGTAGTAAATCCAGGAATTCATCTATGATCAATTATCATAGCTTCAAATAGTATTTCATCTATTTTTAATGATTGTGCACAAATGACATTACAGCAACTACTATAGCATATTTTTATGTCTACATTAAACATATGAGCTTTCTTGCTAATATATCACACCTTTTAGAATGTGATTCATAAATTAGCCTATAATCTCTTCCAGAAATACCAATAGAAAATATAAGGGAAAAATGGGAACAATTATCACAAAATTACTGCTCACCTAATTAAATCTTCCTAAGTAACCTTTAACATCTATAAATAAAAGGTGTTACTAATACTTTCTGTGTGGATTAACATGCTATAAATAAAGAAGAAAAACCACGTTATATGTTCCTATTTATATACTTCTGTAACATACTTTTTAAACATAAACACATAATCTCCTTCACACACAAATGTGCAAAAATATTGATACACTTTTACAAAAGGGTTCTGTTTTGACAATATCAGTTTACAAGCTGTAATCTTTCTCTTACTTGCTCAAAACAGAGCTCACTTATTTGCTCACTTGTAGTTATTCTCTTTCTGAATTTTCTGAATTGGGTATTTTTAAAACATATTTCATTACAGATAGATCCATTGTTAATAATCTTCATTAGTGCAACCTATGCTCTGAAAATTATGTGGAAGGACTCCGTGAAACCTCACATGAGTATATCACCTCTGTTCATTAAAATAGCAATTTCTTTCTTTCTTTCTTTCTTTCTTTCTTTCTTTCTTTCTTTCTTTCTTT